TCCTTACATAGTTGGAGGTTTGCTCAGATTAACAGGTGAAATACACTTCACTCCAGGTAGTGAACCAGCGACTGACTTATTCGAAAAAATATTATTTATGGCTCGGCTTATTTGAAATTCGGTACATATGTAGGTGGCTATTCTCTCCGGTAAATGAACCGGAGATTTTCCTATTCAAAAAGTTGGGCTAATCCTCTCTTCGGGAATCGGGTAAAACAAAAAAAAGTCAAGGGTAAAACCAAAAAATATATGTATATTCTTCAAATATTGGGTAAATAAAGTTATGATAAAATGATATCCCATAATTGATTTTTCTACATTCAATGAGTATGTGCAAATATTTTAAAATTTTTTAATTGGTCCGGATATTGTTCCATTTTTTTCATATGTAAAGGGTGATTTTTTTAGCTATTATAATTTTTTTTTGGCAACACTGGTTTAAACAGCTGATGCATGTTTCGTGTTTTGCATCATTGTCATAATTATATATACTTATAATTTAACCATAAATCGTCTTACAAACGAACAATGCATGCAAATTATTGAATTTTATTAGACTAAGCGGATGGACCATTTGAAGCGCAGACACGGTCGACTTTTAGATACATGAAATAATCTTCAAACATTAAATTATATAGACCATACTATCGATTCAAATAAAGATTTCATGCATTTTTCTGAATTTTTTTATTGAAAACCTTTCCCTTAGTTCTTAAAAAATACCCTTTTTATTCCTTTTAGGCCATTTTTCTCGCAAAACTCTCAAAAACGTATTTATTCCTTTTTACTTTCAATATTTTAAATATTGATTTGTCACCATTTCGGTTTATCGTCCATTTTTTATATATTTACATATTATACATATATCACAACCCGATTTCTCAACAAACAAACAAAAAAGCACCGGCATTAAAAAAACAGCTGTTTTCAATTCAATCCGTGTGAAAAAGTGTTTATGCCTGCGAGTTTATTCTACCCGAGTAGAAACGAAGCATAAATGTAGTAATAATCTCCCCATTTCGATGGCAATATTTAATTTATCTATATATATACTTGTATAGAATACCAAATTACACCCCTTTATATAGTTTTTAACGGTTTTTTTTTTACCGTAAATCTCATATCTGAACAATTCGGTATCAAGGAAGCTTCGTGTTTTAGGTGTTTTAGTAGTCCGATCTGGCCGGTTCCGACAAATAATCAGTACTGTGTCAGGATACAAACCTTCATTAAAATAACTTAACTGATTTTTAATACAAATATGATTTATGAACAGACAGACATATTCAAACTAACTTAGCCCCAATCGGTATAAATTTTCGTGCTTCTAGCTTGCATGCCTCCAACCATAGTTGCTATACCATTGCATGTTCATCAAAGGTATAAAAGCAGGCCATATTAATTTTTTCAGTTATTATTTATTTAAATTTCCAATTCACTTTTTTCACCTCATTATTATTATTTTTATTTTATTTTTTTTTTTTGCTCTGCAATTAGTTTTTAATGTGGGTTCGGCGTTCAAGTTTATATGAACAGCGCATGTTTTGATAAGATAATACTACGCTCGTTAAAAGTAAAATAAGTAGGGCAGGTCTAAATTTGGATGAAGCCCTCAATTCAAACTGAAAAAAAATTTAAAAGACAACAAAATGCTGTAAGCAAATTATGTGGCGGCCGGAATAGCCGAATAGCATTACATAGTGCCATTCGGAAAGTCATTATTTGATTCCTGGTCCGACCAATATCTTACAGTGAAAGAAAATTTCATTTAATTAAAATTTAATTCGAATTATAAGCCGTTCGAAGGTGGTATGTTCTAAACTACAGGCCTTTTTTTGCTGAAAAAATCGTCAATACTCACACAACAAATTGCCGGGGGAGCTCAGCTGAAAATGTGTTCAGCGGTTGCAAAGTACCAATAATAAAAATATATATAAATTCTCCACAAGAGAAGTGGGTTGCACTTTTTAAGAAGTTCATTGTAACCATCAAGCTTAATTGAATTCAGTCTATTAATACTGTAGGTATTCTTTGTCAAGTGTATCTAAGAGTATGTAGTTTGAATTCACTATGTGGTAACCATGTTTTTTATTCGATTTAGCTCCTCTGTTCAAAGAAAAGTAACGGAAATATGTAGTAGAAATTAAGCGCACGTTTTTGGAGTATTCTTCATTAATAAAAAAATATGTCCACATTCAAAGTGTTATTACATATTAATACCGATTCGGATTATTGATTACTTTATTATTGTCATTTTTAATATTTCAAACTTTCTACGGATTTCAATCGGACGTGGTTCATACCCTTTGGTTATGGATTTAGAAATTTACTTAATATAAGGCATATCAGCAGAAATTATATTTTTACACCAGAACTACTTCGATTATATCCACCCGAGCACTGTCACTCCCTGAACGTGCCCTAACTAATTTAAGAAGTATTTTAATTTTACCTTAACGACAACAGCGTGTCGATATGTTTGAAACTGATATCACGTGAATTCAAAAATTCCCATTAGGTACTACTATTTGGTTATAGAAAGTGTTGCTGTTAAGTTTTGAAAAAATCGTTCCAAGAATTATTAGATTATAAAATGTTTACGGGAATTCTGTAAGTACCATAGTCTAGTTTTACAATTTGGATCATCAATAAAGCCAAAAGGTCATTTTAATGTCTGACAATTTACTAAAATATATTTTGTTTCCGTTTTTCGAAAGCATTTTCATATATTTCTTAAAAAAGTTTTTTATCTATTATAAAAATAAAGATAAATAAATGAAATAAACGAAATTTCGAATTTCTATTCCAAGTTCTTATCACATTGGTGATTTGAGGTTGCATAGCCCCACCGAAATTGCACATCTGAGTGTAGTGCTTGATTTTAGACTCAGATTTTAAGGACAAGTTCTGCTCTGACTGTCGGCTTTTATATGGCATTTCAGGTCAGATTTTACTGATATTTATACCCTAAACTAAAAGGTATATGGTACGTTCGTAGTTAGTGTAGCATTATAATATTAATATGTCTATTTATTAATCTTTAAACATAAAATTTTAGGTAAAGTATTCCCTCTGATTTTATTTATCAAATTCCCACTCGGAATCTCACTTGAAATCCATATTGAAATATCTTTCAAACCACTTCTCATTATAACTTGCTGGAATCTACATATTATACATATATGCATTGTTCTATAGTTCGTGCTGGATTACTTTTGAATACAAAAAACAACAGATAGATAAATTAATTTAATTGCATTTTTCTTCTTCTGATTGTGTCACGGCAGGCGAGGATGTACTATTGTATTAAACTTAATAGTATATTTTATTTTATTGTTTTCTTATAACTAATTTCATGTGAGACATTTTCAGTAAGTAACTTGTTCAACATAGCATACACTGTGGCTAAGTCCCAACATTTGTGGTGCACTGGGTGTATCAAAGCAAGTGAGAAATGTGAGAGTACTTACATAATGTGTGTGGGAGAGAGAGAGCGCAATAATAGGTTGTGCATGAAACGAATAAATCATGCCCTAACAGCAATTATTTATACGTATTTGAAAATTGTATAATTTCTAGAAAAATTTGTTCTCTTATATCAAAATTATTTATGCTGAATAAAAATCAATTGAAGTTCGGCTTTCGTACGGATCATATTAACAAAAACCAAAGTCTCTATTGAATATTTAATTATGTTGGAAACTTGTATCGAAAAAGACTTGTTGAATATGCAATTTTATGAAAATATTTTGGAGTATGTTGTTTTTTTGGAAATTTTTTGGAATTTTAAACACCAGTTTTTTCAAAAATGTGTTGCATTAAGAATGACTAGTTTTCTAGGTTAATGTATATATGTAAATAATACTTTTTGGAAATGAAAATGAATTTTGGAAAGTTTAAACAAAAAAGCGTGCACTTATTTAGAAAATAAATGCGGTTGCAAAGTCCTGAATAATAAACGTCTAATTAAATAAACTATTTTAATTTTTTTTATAGCTTTCATTAATTTCTTCATATACATATATAATATTTTCGGGAATTATAAGCTATATTTTTTCTTGTTGAAATTAAAAATATGCCAATAAAATATTAAAAAAAAATAGTTTGAAACAGATAGTCAGCAATATAAATTTTTTATTAGTTTTAATTTAAAAATTAATGTTAAAATCTAAAAATATCCAAAAAAAAAAATAATAAAAAATAGTGCAGCTTCTTTATAACGACGTTTTGAATTTTTTAAATACGAAAATAGTGTAGGTATGAGAAAAAATTCTACGTCAAAGCCACGAGAAGCCTAGGTGAGAGCAAAAATCCAAGGTTTCTTCTGCTGAAATAATTTTTTAATATAAAATGTGCAACAGTATTTAATAAATGATATAATAAAAAATAAAATAAACAAATAATATAAATATAAATTGGTTATTGTACAGATATTCAATATTATGAAGTATTATTTAAACTTAAATTAAAAAAAAAAATATTGATTAAAAAAAAGAAAAAGGAAAAGAAGTGGTAAACAAAACATAGCAGCAATCTGCCATCCTCGGTGACTTAGATTGATCAAACCTTTATGTAAGCGCGGTTAGCGAACTGCTACAAAAACAGCAACAACAATCGTCCATCGGACAGGGGAAAAAGGAGTCACAGGAAAGCCCAAGTTGGGATACATTAAGAGAAGGAAGTATGGGTCCCGAAAGGTCCAAAATATGATCACGTGGCTTATGGAAATTCGCCGAAACATGACTTTTCTCTTCGTATTTTTTTTTTTTTTTTTTTTTTGAAACATCCTCATCCTTCTACCTCCCAAAACTAAAACAATTTGTTTTCTTTAAAATAAAAATAAATTAATTTTTTACAGTTTCTTAGTAAGAAAAATATATTTAAAGTAGAAAATTTGTGATTGAAAAGTTCAAGGCTTTAAACTGAAAAATATTTGTTGAGTTTATTTAAATTTATTTAATTGGCGGCATTTAATTTACTTAATAATTAATTTTTTTTGTTTTTGTTTATATTTACTTTTACTACAATATTTATGTTGAGCGGTGTCTAGTAAATTATTTCACTTCTGTTCATATTAAAAACATTTTTCTTAACATTTGGACCGAAAGTAGGGTATTTGTAATGCCAGCGCCTACACTTGTTTGCGGTTATAGAGAGCTTAAGTCCATACATACATATGTACATATATGCAATTATGAGCAATAAAAAATGTAAAGCCAAAGTAACGCGAAGAGTATGCGCTCAGCGCATCGTACTGAATCACACATACCACGCCGACCACGCGGAACACGTCGCAGCGAACGCGAATATCAGCCGAGATGCCAGAAATGGGGCCCGTTCTGAAGCGTTGGCAGCGGAGCTTCAATACAAATTCGCCAGAGAGCATAAAAGCAGTCGCTTGCTTTGTTTTGATAACACCGGTACGCGTTGGTTGGTTTTCGTCTCGATTTTTGTGTGTTGTGCTCTGCTGTGGTTTGGCGTGGCGTGGCGTGGCGTTGTGTTGTGTTTGCTTTGTTTGTTCGCGCAAAACAAATCCGAAAAGAAAAACGCGAAAAGTACGCGTTCAATTAATTAAACATAAATATATGTATTGTATTTACAGTGTAAAACTAAGCTTAAAGTGATAAACAACTTGTAGTTTTCTACTTGAAAAAGCTCCCTTAAATTGCATTTACGAACTTAAAAGAAACCTTCTCTAGAAAAAAGCATATAAATAAAGTGTTTTTGTAGCTCGCTCGTCAAGCTCATTTCGTGGCAGTGTGTGAATTATGGTGGACTCCACCACCGTGCTGCTTGTATTCGTCACACTGCTGACGGCTGTGTTCATTTGGTCGCGACGTACATATGTTTACTGGCAGCGCAGACGCGTCAAATTTGTACAGCCCGTACATCTGCTGGGCAACTTGAAAGACGTACTCTGGCTGCGTACATCATTTCCCTTGTTGTTGCGCGACTACTATTTCGATCCGCTCTTTAAAGATGAGCCGGTCGTTGGCATTTACTTGTTCCATCAGCCAGCATTGCTGATACGCGATCTGAATTTGCTGGGCACCATTCTGGTCGAAGATTTCGTCAGCTTCTCTACGCGATTCTCCAAATGCGACAAGCGTGTGGACAAGTTGGCGGCAAATAGTTTATTCTTTGTACGTAATCCGGAATGGCGTGAGATACGGACGCGTTTGTCGCCGGTCTTCTCCAGCGGTAAGATCAAGCAGATGTTTGCACTCATGGAGGAGGTACTTTCACTTGTTTGATAGTGTACTTTTTTTTTCTTGCATACACGCTTGGTGCGAAGCAGTGAACAAAATTAACGTTTTCCTTATTTTTTGTTTCATCTGCGTCCCAGGTGGGTTGTGATCTCGAGGCTTACCTGCAGCGCCTCACTGCTAACGGCGCAACACGACGCAATGTTGTAGTGAATGTGAAGGAGATTTGCGATCTCTACAACACAGATCTCATATCCAGCATCGCTTTCGGCCTGCGCTCGTATAGTCTGCGCAATAAACAAACCGAACTTGGCAGCCGTTGTCGTGAGGCGTATACACTCACCTTTCGACGCGTCATTGACTTGTGTGTGATATATTTTTTGCCCAAGTTTGTCTCGCTGCTGCGGCGCAATCTGCTCGCGCCGGCGCATGCGGACTTCTTGCGACGTACTGTGTTGCAAGTTATTGAAGAGCGCGAACGAAACGGCGTGATGCGTAATGATCTCATCGAAATGTTGTTGACACTAAAAATGGAAGCGGCGCTCAATCAAGATCGCACACATTTCTCACATCAACAAGACTATTTGGTTGCACAGGCGGCTATGTTCGAACTCACCGGCATAGAGAGTTGCGCCTCCACTATGAGTTTTGCCCTCTATGAGCTCGCGAAACAACCGCTGTTGCAGGCGCGCCTGCGCTCGGAGATTAGACAGACTATAGGTACGGCTGAACCGTTAGATATTAATTATGATAAGGTGATGGGCATGCGCTATTTGGATATGGTTGTTGCCGAGACGTTACGCATGTATCCGAATATGTCAATTTTGGAGCGCGAATGCACGCCGATCAACAAGAAGCGTTTCTATCCTTTGCGACCTTATGCCGAGTGTTTTGCGCGTCGCGGCATGCCTGTTTATGTTTCAACTTTGGCGATACATCACGATCCGGAGGTAAGTATATAATGTGTATTTATTGCTTTTAGTGCCAATCTAAATAAATTTTTACTCTTACTAGTACTGGCCGAACCCATCACGCTTCGATCCGGAACGTTTCTCACCCGAGAATCGCAAATTACACATACCCATGTCTTACCTACCCTTCGGCGCAGGTCCGCACAACTGTATAGGCGCGGGTATTGCGCTGGTTCAGATCAAACTTGGCCTTATACACTTTCTGCGCACGCATCGTGCGGAGATTTGCGAAAAGACTGTTGACAATATCGAATTCGATCGAAAATTCTTATTACTGTCAAGCCAGAGTGACATCTATTTGAGTGTCGAGAAGTGTTTGTGATGTTACTATCTTCTTAATGGGTGAGAGGAGTGCGTGGAATATCATATGTGGTAGTAGAAATGGAAATGATCCGATCAAAGTCACGAACTTACGTTTATCACTACTTAACACCGCCATGCTTGATAACACATATGTAAATATATATATAAATAGAGACCAAAGTAATTTCGGCCGAGACAGCTTTTGAAAGCAAGTGGCTGGCGGAAAGCTTTCACAGCCGTTCATCGTACGGCCAGCAAAGCTTTCTTATACATAAATACACAAACATACATATATATTTGTTGTCGCTTTTACTGCGTAGCGAAACTGACATGTACACATACATATCTACTATATTTTATACAATTCTACGCTCTTTGTTTATAATTAAAATTATTATTAGATTTTTATATAAATTGCTTTTTAAGTTTTATGATTATTATTAACAGTGCTCATATGTATGTATTTTTGTAATTTGTACTTTTATATAAAAAAAAGAAAATATTGTTAATATATATACCGTTTTTAATGAATGAGAAAGCTTTAGTTTTAATTTATTTTTCAATTTTCAAATTTTTATCTTCTTAAGCGTTCAGCGGATTGGTTGTAGCTCGATCACGCCACCGCCAAGGCGTTTGCAAAAGAATTTGACTTATCTCAATTGTGAGTGGATTGCGCCGGCAAGTCGATATACATACATACATAGATATAATATATTAGTATGTATATGTGCATATAGCATTGTGTCAACAAGGGTAAATATGTAACTGTGAATGTATTTGTTTATCACCACAAAATTTGCTTAGTCATTCCCATGTGTGTATGTTTGTCTGTTTGTGTTTATGTTTATCGTTTCGGTGACTCGTTGTTCTTTTTGCTGCTGCTGCTGCTGCTATAAAGCACATTACTTAATTATTCCAAAGGCCGTGAATAGATGTGTTTGTTGTGAATGAATAAAATTCTTTATATGCTTGTACGCTACAGTCGGCTGATGTGGAGTCCAGATGGTATTACGACCCGACACTTTCTTGGCATATATCAGGCTGTACTGGCTGACTGTCAACCCAACATAATATTGTACCACGAGGTTCAGTTTATGTTCAAGCTGAAGTAGTCGGTATGTTGGTTGTCAAGACTTTGGGAAGCTTAAGAGAGCCTTGATATCTGTCTTTGCCACTTTTGTCCTTTGAACTGTGTAGCTCGTACATATCCAGGACGAGTTTTAGATCGGAATGGACAAAAGCAGAAAAGGTGTTCCAGCGTCCCGTTCAGACCTTTTTCGCTGCTCTTAAAGCATGTCTCCGTTACTGATGTTCGTTCGGCTCGCGTGCACTTCCAGTAGGTTGTGACCTGTCATTAAGCCTATATCCGTCCTGTAATTCTTTGGAGATCGCGTGAACAAAATATAAAAGTGGTTTCATTCGGCGCATGATCTTGGTGATTCGGTATGTCTTCTTTTTATAAGATTATGAAATAAGAAGACGTGGCTAGTAACGAAGAGAGATAATACTCCAGATTAATATGAAATATCTCAGGTCATTAATAATCAAAATTCTCCGTCTGTCTTGGAATCGTCATTAACACCAAACACCTTGTCACACTAAAGATTTTGGGTAATAGAAACAAAAACAAACTCCCTAAGCCGTACATTGCTTCCGTTTGGCTATATTACACAGAGCCCTGGACGGTGGCAATACCAATTAATGAGTTTCGAATGTTTTCTGTTGACCTAAACAGGATTAGATTGTTGGACAGGACAGCGTGCAGTCTGGATATTGTGACAGGTTAAACTCCTGCTTATCCAGACTCGACCCTGACATACCCAACGTATGTACAGCATGTAAGAAGTCTCCCACGACACTAACCCCCTCTTTACATACAGCCTAAAACCGACACATCTAATTCTCCCCTCTCTCTGTTCCGAGCCCGTCGAAACTAATTAGACCGACCCTAAGCGGGGTTGAAACAACCACTCCAACAGCAAAAACAATGAGTACTCGAAAGTAAGCATTTGCATTATCTGTTGGTTTCAAACCAGTTTAGATTGCCAAAAAAGACAGTCCTCGGCCAGATAAAATTTGATATACTCTCTACTATGAGATATTATGTTCCAAGTAAAAGGGTCTAGGAAGCAATATACTCTGGTGCTGATGCTTGTAAACCTGACACAACTTTGCAGCGGATTTAACCTCCACTTATTCAGAATCTACTCAGACATACCCAACGTATGTGAAGCATGTTTCCCACAACGTTTCAAGCAACACCTCTCTACTTTTTGCGCGAAAACGTCGAATCAGTACATTTTATGGATCTTACGTTAGAGTACCATGCTGATGTAGACTAGATTAGCCACTTCCATCGCGTCACTACAACATCAATAAGAATTTCCTTGATTTTTCTCAAAGTCCTTCCAAAGGAAACCTTTACCCTAATCAGTGAAAATACGGAGGTATGGAGCTTATTGGTATAAATTTCGTGACAGTGTAGGTGTCCCTTTCCTCCACTCTTATTAATCCCGGCTGAAAGGCATCGTGAATGTATCAGCTTGTTTGATGAGAGGTCGAAAGCATAATAATAGGATCCCAAAATCTTCGCGAAATATCGTAAAATAATCCTTCTCAATATCGCATATATTTATAAGGTCCATACGAGCGCATTATGTGAAGGGCCGAGAACCACTGACAGCATATACCTTGGACCTTGTCAGCATGCCTTTAGACCTGATAAATCAACCATTGACCAGATATTCACCATGCGCCAAATCTTGGAAAGAACCCGTGAAAACAGGATCGACACACACCAGCTCTTCGTCGTTTTAAAGCAGCCTTTGATAGGACGAATAGATTTGCCTTTATGCCGCTATGTCAGAATCTGCTATCCCCGCAAAGCTTATACGGCTATGTAAACTGGCTTTAAGCAACACTAAAAGCTCCGTCAGCATCGAGCCGTTCGATACCAAAAGAGGTTTCAGACCAGGTGATTCCCTATCGTGTGACTTCTTTAATTCATCGTTGGAGATATAACACGAGCTGCAGAGCTGCATAGGGAAGGTGGTGTACAGCTGCTGGCATACGCCGATGATATCAACATTATTGGCCTCAACAACCACATCAACACATTTCTCCAGGCTTAATTAAAATGCGAAGCGAATGGGTCTGGCAGTGAACGTGGGCAAGACGAAATATCTCCTGTCATCAAACAAACAGTCATCGCACTCGCGACTCGGCTCCCACGTCACATTTGACAGTCATAACCTTGAAGTCGTAGATAGCTTCGTCTGGAACCAGTATTAGCTCCAACAACAATGCTAGCCTGTTAATCGAATGCAAAATCACTCTTGCCAACAGGTGACCCTTTGGACTGAGTAGTCAATTGGAAAGTAAAGGCCCCTTTCAACGAGCAAAGTGCGGAGACACGGACGATGTCAGGATCTGATGAGTCGTTATTAAGATCTTTCAAGAGAAATGGTTTCATTAAGATTTTTAGTTCTGTGGACGTAGGCAACGGTTAGTATCGCAGCCGATGGAACGATGAGCTGTTCACGGTTAAGCGCAAAAGTGGCATAGACCATCAAGGCGAATAAAGACTCAGCAGCTACACAGGTTCGGTCATAATGTGGTTTGCATAGAACAGAACAACTTAGCTTTGGAAACTTTCGAAGCAGTTCCCGCCGGTGCAGCAGAGGAAAAGAAAGACCAGGTAGGGAAGTAGCTACCTGCAATAGATATTGTCAAGAAATGAAAAGAAGGAAGAAGTGCCGCCTGGCTATAATTGCTTAAGGGATGTCCACGCTAACAAATAAAAGGAAGAATACCAAGGATCTTAAACAGATCTCAAAGAATTTAAAAAGATCAAAGGAAGAAAAAGTAGGGAAATATGATCTGAGGGTGCCGAAAAATTTCTGTTCAGGAGAGAAGGTCCACTGAGTAAACTACTAAATTTAACAGCAATGAATTGACATGATAAATTTACTATCAGGGAAACGTTTGAAGAAAGTTTCAGTAATTTTGTGGAGCAGAAAGTAAAGATTCCAGCAATGAACTTTGGTCTCTTAGCTTACAAAATTGTAAGGGCGGGAAGGACAAATAATAAAATAAATTTTGGTTAATATTCAATAGCGGTAAAATATTCAGAACCTAGTTTCCATGACGAATTCCATTTTATTATTTCTATTGATTTTAATTTGATTTCTTTAGACCTCATCGGAGACTTACACAGAATCTAAGGGACGCACTTAACTTACTTTTTCTACTAAGAAATATACATAATTCACATATCAATCAAAGCCAGACAAATAAACCAACAACAAGTAATAATGTTACAAACACAGGAAAAGCCAACAACAGCAACAAAATGTCACATTTTTTAGCATAACAAAAAGAACACGCCAATAATGCTGAGCCACTCAACTGCATAAATTATCAACATATACACAAACGCACAAAACAACACATAAAAATTAACTTAAAGGCATAAACTCATACAGCAACAACAACAAATATTACAGAATAAATGTCTAGTAGCTACCGAAAGGTAGTTGACAAGCATGTAAAACGCAAATGATAACTACAAGAGCAAAGGCAACAAAAACAAACTACAACATCATACATATATACATATTTACATAAATTATATGAAGATATCACAAATATGTTGCGCCTCACATTTGTAACAAGTAATGCCTCTTTAGATAACGCACATAACTACATACATACATACATACATATGTGTACATGCACACCTGAGGGGTGGATAAATGCAAACCGTATAATGATGACATTTGTAATATGTAGAAGCGTAGATAGAAGCGAGAGTAGGGTAGGGTAGGGTAGAGTAGCCCGATTTTGGTTGCCTACATGTGCATGTCAGTTGGTGGTGGAATGTCTGATACAGACACCTCATTAAGTCTGCACTCATCACCACACCACCTCACCTTCCTAAAGTGTATGCTGTTAAGTAAGCATAACGGTAAAGTGAATGTCACACGCATTACATAATACAATCATAACAAGAACAACATTTGATAGAGACAACAAAAACTAATTCAAGCACAACAACGGTTTTGAAAATTGTCAAAAAGGACATGAGATTGAGTGTATATAAATATAATGGCTAGGGATAGGAGGGCGCAGGAAGAAGGCATTGCAGTACAGCCAGTATCAGTTAGGAAAAAGTGAGTACTACTGTTATGAAAAGTTTTCGTCGGTGATAGTAGTCTTGCGTCTATACCTTAGATTACCGGCTTCGTAATTCAGTAAACAAATCTCTGAGTTGAGAACGTAAGTTAAAGCGCAAAAAGGTGAACAGCGCAGGTATTGGTACAGAGTTGTTGATCTGACAACGATAATGAAACGGAAGGACCGAGAAAATATTGATTTGGGTGCTATATTAATAGCATCGTACACGCGAAGGTTTAATCCCCGACCTACTTGGCTGGTCGAATGCTGGTAGGGTTGTGTTAAATCCCTCTTAGTGAGAGT